AGGGTTAGGGGAGTGCCAGGGAACTAAGGTTTAGGGTTTATGGTTTGGGGGTCACAATTAGGATGTTCTCGTGTTTGCTCACGCTTCGTGGAATACTGAAGATCCCCGAGTTTGAAAAACAAGCTGCATGCCCAACATAAGACACCTATTCCTCAGACAACTCGCCAGAAGCACAACCCCTGGACAAAGGGCGACAGTGACATGAAAGCTTCCGGGAGCACTTGACACCTCATGCAAGAACGAATAAGAAACCCTGGTCCTATAAAACACAAGAGTTAGAATCCATATAAGAACCCTAACAAAGACCCAGGGTTTCTGAACATAGTGAGCTGCAAAATTAGAATAGACTTTTGGCGTATCTTACACTACGATCACAGTAAGGAAGCCTTTCAACATCAACCACTCTGATCCACCCTCGTTCTTTCCTCAAGGGCCTTAAACTATGGGAATTATGGTATCTTCCCCTCATTCTGGGACATGCAAGATTTATATCCTCAGCCCTATAAACACCCAGAAGCCCTCTGTCGCCCTGAACACCAAAGCCCTCAAGGCCCAGCGCCGCTTTGAGCCCCCAAAAGCCACAAAACCCTGAAGACCCGAATCCCTACACCCCCAAACCCTATATGGGAGTTCAGAAAATTAGGGTACCTTATTTTGGGGTCCTTATAATAGGGATCCTATTATGTAGGGTACTATATTAGGGTCCCCTATATTCGGAAACCCCTATATAGAACCCGTATAGAGCCCCTATGCAGCCCTTATAGAACCCCTATGCAGCCCTTATAGAACCCTTGTGCAGCCCTTAGAGAGCCCTTATGGAGCCCGTCCAAAAACCCCTAAAACCCTAGTCCCAACTCTCTAAACGTCCCTACCTGCGTGGCTGGAGCATAAGTAGCGATCGGGGGCGCCATTTGCGCAGCACCCTCAGATCATGTACATAGGATTTTGGAGAAATGCACTTACTATTCCTTAGGGCTCCTTATAATAATTATATCATAAGATACCCAAAAGGCCCGAAAACCGTATTCATGTGGAGCTTCGGGTTCGAACTTTGGATTGAGGTTCGGATATGCTGGGGCATGGGCTTTCAGGATCTAGGCTGTATGGGTCTTGAGTTCAAGGCTTCAGATATTGAACTTAGGCCCCAGTGCCCGGGTTTCAGGGTTGAGAGGCCAAGATCCCAGAATCCGGTAAGTAGAGCTTTTGTTTTGGACCTTCTCGTCTCTCGCCCATGTCTGGGTTTGGAACGCCAAGTTTGGGTGAGGGGTTGTTACGGGTTAGTTGGGTGTAGGGTGTAGGGTGTAGGGTTTAGGCTTGTGGATGTAATGTAGCGCCCTTGATCATTAGAACTGGGCTTCGGGGGTACGCTACATTGAAGTCATAAGTCAAAGTCTGGAACAGCCATATTGGTAGTTAGGCCGCTACACTAGCCTCACGCTCCAGAAAAACAAAAACTTTGCACAGGAGGCTGTCGACTCGGCATCGGCTTCTTGCAAGGCGTCTTAACTGAAGGTGAAGGAGCTTAGCCTAAGCCCTATAATTTTATCCTGTGCTCCCACACCTTAAACCCCTAAAATCCAAAACCTAAACCGTTAAACCATAAACCATACACCCCTAAACCATAAACCCCTAAACCCTCTAGTACACTTATCGAACCCTTTATATATAGAGCCCAAACCGCAGACCCCGAAACACAAAGTCTGCGCCTTCGCGGTTGCTTGATCAATACAGGCTGGAAGTTCGGGGGTTTCAAAAGCACGAATTTCAGTCACGGTTTGAGGTTTAGGATTCAGGGTTTGAGGTTGAGGGTTCAGGGTTTCAGGTTTGGGGGTTCAGGGCTCGCAGTCAAAGGCCAGCACTACTGGTACTGTTGCTCTTGGTGCGCAAAAGAGGCACAAGCTGTACCCTAAATTCGTTCCAGAGGGACTCTAAGCTCAATTTGTTCGCTGAGTCTTCGCTCTGCCGGGCCTTGCCCTCATTCAAAAATCTCATATTATGAAACACGATGCAGCTAAAGACAATATATGTCTTCAACCCTGAGGAAAAAACCTTCATCCCTGCACTACCGGCCTCGGCTGGCGCGGTAATCGGCGGTAGGTACACCGTCTCGCCGACAGTGGCCTGCCCATTTAGGGGTAAGGGCTCAGTGTTTGGAGATTAGCGCTTGGATGCCTGCCTCGAAAACCCAGAACGTACGTAGTGGCGAGTTCGACAAACACAACGCATACTGTCCAAAATGGAAGGAGGAAGTGGAGCAATGCCTGACGCTAGCTTCTGCAGTCTTCCCAAGGAGGCGCTGGCAGCCCGACCCAGAAACCATCAAAACCCTAGGCGCCACTAAACTCTAGTTACGCCGTGAGAGAAGCTCTCAAACCGCGTTGGGCATAAGATCAACTCGCCTGGGGCTCCATCACAGGAGCCGCGAAAACTGCACCCGGTGGGGCTGCCTATGGAGTCGGGTCTGGGCTCGAGGGGCTTAAGGCTTAAGTGTCCAGGGTTGAGGTGTCAAGATTTGGGAAGGCTTCTGGGATTATGTTCTTGACTGTACTGCGCAGGCAGCAGCTACATGACGGAAGGAAAGAAGTTCGGCGTCGTGCGCATACTAGTTACTTATTTATTCATCATGTAGTTGGCACTTTTGTACTCTGCGCTCTTCTGTTCTATATCTATATCGAATTATCTATTTATCTATTTACTTGTCTATCTGTTGGCTATTTGTCCTATCTATCCGCTCTTCTATTGCATTGCATTTCTATTGACAGGAGCTAAACTTATTAGCCCTTTACTTACTCGCGTACTTACTTACCTACCTACCTGCGTACTTAGTTGAGTACTTTCCGAATGAATGTATGAACGACGGGATGAATGAATTAATGAATGACTGAATGAATGATTGAATGAACTAATGAATGCGCGAAGGAATCACTGATTGCTTGTCCGATTGAAAGAAGGAATGAAACAATCAATAAAGGAACGACTGACAGATTGGATGATTGACAGATTGAATCATTGGAACAGTTGAATGAAAAAACGAATGAAGTAATCAGTGAATCACAAGGCAACCCTATCACCGGCACAAGACTGTGAGTGCCTTGCGTAAGCTGTATACAGCGCGGTCGGCCAGCCATGCTCTTCGTGTCAGAACCCGAAACCTAAAACCTCACCACAATCTTCTTAGGGGCTAAGTACCCTAGCCCAAAAAAGGTTAACCGTGTTAAGCTATAGTAGGATTATGAAAACCCGCAAAAGGTTAAAGGTTGCCTACTCAGCCCCTAAGAAAACTTGAGTTCCCCTGAATCCTGCAAGCAGCGTGCCTGTGGCTCCATCACTGGCGCAGCGAAGATTGCTCCCGGTGGTGGCATCTGCTCTGGCGCAGCCTGGAAGAGGAAGCAGCGGACACATCTTTGAACCCTAGGCCCTATTAACCCTAAACCCTAAACCCTAAACTAAACCCTAAACCCTAAGATTGCAAGACGACTGCTGTCAGAGGTTCTACGGACAAGGATCCGGGTAAGCTCTCGGTTTGGAACCGAAGATATACGATGTCACATTGAATTCAAGGAGATTGCCGCTGCTTTCCGTTGTTTGTGCTTGTGCTGTTACACCTATAGGTGTATACTCTAAACCCTAAGCCCTGGTAGAGCGGCAGCGTATCGCGTTTTGGACAGCGTGGGGGCCGTAGAAGATGGCAAGGGCTGATCCTATAAGTCCCTTTAAAGGGCCCTACAAGGGCTACTATCAGGGTTCTGCAAGGGCTCTTTGATATACGCATCACCCAAAGCATCATAGACTGAAGTGGAAGAGCCATGGTTTAGGCTTATTATAGTTGTTGGTTTAGGGCTTTGGGGGTTCAGGGTTTAGGGTCTATTGGCGCCAAACCCTCAAGCCTGGACCCGAAACGCTACACCCCTAAAGCCCCTTACCCTAAACTTCGAACTTAAGCTCCAAATACCCCCGACAGTTGAGAGTTCGAGGAAAAGGATGCATATTATCACTGTCGGGTCAACCTTGTATATATATATATAACAAAGTCAGACTACAGGTCAGCCGAACAACCAAGTGGTAACGGAAAGCTAAACCCAACACAACAATGCCGCTACAGCTTGAACTTGACCATGCGTTTCGTATGGCGATGGGGATTTGCGATTGGAGATCTCCAGGGTTCAGGGTTTAGGGTTCTCGAGATGACCAACCCGCAGAAAGTGGACCCCTGCACGGTTGAGGGTCTAGAGTTTAAGCTTACTCTGAGAAACCGGCATCGGTTTGGGGTCAGGTTTCCGAGCACCAGGAAGAGCATCCGAAACTCTTGTGCACCCCAGGCCTCGAGCTCTTTAAACCCTGTAGAAGCCTCATAAAACCAAACTGTACCCATCAAAAAAAGGCCGCAAGCATTTTATAGGACGGTGCACCAAACGCTCGAAACACGTATGGAACCCTATAAATATCCTCCCGACATTGGGTGATGGCATGGGGAAGCCGGCGACAAAGACTGTCGGGCTTTTCGTGCTTGGAGTTAATGTAGGGGCCGTAATAATTATGATAGGGTTTTGGGCTCCTGTATAGTACTATTATGCCAAGGAACCCTATAACAGTACTATGTTTAGGCTTCTATATTATAGTGAACCCCAGAAAGTTGGAACGTGGATTTGGGATGATTAGTGCTGGGATTCCATAAGGTCATGAGGAGAATGTTCCAACTTTTTGGCTTCTACTGTATATGAGTCTCGGTATCGGGAGGGATCTGGGGCTTCCAATGCTTATTAGTCCAGGGTTGTAGATTTAGGGTTTAGCATCTGCGATAAGGATTTCAGGAGCTGGGGCTGTAAAATGGAAGCCTGGGTAATCATCAGGGGTTCTTATTCGTACAATAACTAACATTAGTCTCATCTTGTAGTCTTTACAAACTTCTACGACAGTCAACCCCAAAACCCTGTACTAAATTATCAGGTCCCTCATTATCCTAAGCTCTTATAGTAACCCTTAAAGAGCGCTTTAAACGATTATTTCAGATCCCCGTGTTTCCGGTAGGGTGCGGGGACCTCCATCATCGGCGCAGCGAAGACTGCTCCCGGAGGTGGCATCTGCTGCGGCGCGGCCTGGGCGAGGAGCACTGTATCTGCGCTTTGAGAATTTACGGTTTAGGGCTTCCAGTGTTTGCATATTGCAGTTATATGTACAATGTAAAATCATATACCCAGACCTTCCAAAATCCAGTCCTTTTATTAAGGAATAAGGCCGTTTTAGTGATGCTACTATAATTGAAGGTATAGTGTCTATTTAAAGGATTTTGGAAGGTCTGGGCACTATATTGGACTGTACCCAAACCCCCGGGAGGATCCAAAAAGTAGATCTCTTAAGGGGGTTCCTATACAGCACCCTTGAGTAGGATAGGTTCCCAAATTAGGGGATCTAATGTAGGGGCCTAAATATTCAATACTAATTTGGAGGGGCGCTCCTTATTATAATTTTAGTATAATGGGCCCCCAAAACCCTGTTCTAATTATTAAGGCCACCATATTCCTTTCTAGATCCTTCCGGTGCTCTGGGTAGGGGGCCTCCATCATCGGTGCCGCAAAGACGGCGCCCGGAGGAGCAGTCTGGGCCTGAGAAGCTGGTCGAGTTTCGGTTTTAGCGATTCAGGGTTTTAGGATTCAGGGTTCTAGGGTTTAGGGGTTCAGGGTTTTAGGGTTTAGGGATTTCGGGTTTTAGGGTTTCAGGGTTCAGGGTTTTGCAGCTTCAGGGTGTTGGGGTTTGGGCTTTACACCTTAAGGGTTTACGGTTTTCGACTTTAGGCTTTCGGGTGCAGGGTGTTATAAGGATTAGGGCTTCAAGGCTTTATGGTTTGGGGGATCCCGAAATAAACGCTGAATTAACCTCCCTACCTGAAAAGGCCTCCCTGCGGAAAAAAGGTACAATAGGGATTCTGGGAAGCCCCTGCAAGACAGGGAGTTTCTTCATCAGGGGTCTACATTAACTCAAGATCCTCATCCCTGAACCCCAAATCCCGTATTGCACCGTCAGAGCCCCATTCACAGGAGCCCCACTCACAGGAACCCTTTATGGAAAGCCCTAAACCCTAAAAACCAAACCATAAGCCCTAAACTCTTGTAGAACTCCCTTATGGAACCCTTGAAGGTTCCTTTAAGGATTCCTTCAAAGGCTCTTTGAAGGATTCCCTCTAAGGGTTCTTTCAAAGATTGTAAAGAACCCTAAACCCTAAATCCTACCCCAAAAAGCCTAAACCCTAAACCCTAAAACCTGAACCCTAAAACCCTAAAACCCTAAACCCCCCAAAAAAGGGGACCCCTCCAGGCCAGAGCCTCCATCATCGGGGCTGCGAAGACGGCGCCCGGAGGGGGCGCGGTCTGCGCGGGATCCTTCAAGCAGAGGGCTTGGGGTTCAGTTCAGGGTTCAGGGTTTAGGGTTTAGGGTTCAGGGTTTAGGGTTTTAGCGTTTAGGGTTTAGGGTTTTAGGGTTTAGGGTTTCAGGGTTCAGGGGTTTCGGGGTTCAGGGGTTTGGGAATTCAGGTTAGTGGGTGAGGGCGCTTCGGGTCCGGGTGGTTTTAGGTTCGAGGGCTTCGAGCCTTGAGGGGTGAGCACAAAAAGCACCTGAAAGAGCTTCACTCTGTTAGAACTCCAAGGGTGGAAGGACGGAAAAGGGCACACTTCCTGACGACTGAGTTTACAGATAGACCAGGAAAAACCTCAGAGCCTGCGCCTCCATCATCGGCGCAGCGAAGATTGCGCCCTGAGGTGGGGCCTGCGGCACGCTGCTAAGTAAATTCCAATCCAAACCCCGAAACCCTCAAGCCATTTAGCCTCTACCTAAACGCCCCAAATAACTAAAGCCTCAAACCCTGAATTGCCTTAAAGCCTTGAAAGCCCCGGAAGCTATGAAGCCTTATTCTCCAGCTTAGGGGGGAATTTCAAGGGAAGCATCGAGTCTAGGAGTGGGGATTGATGATGTGGGTTCATGGTCTAGGTTTAAGGTTTAGGGTCTAGGGTCTTAGGGTTAGGGTTTAGGGTTTAGGGTATAGGGTTTAGGGTATAGGGTTTAGGGTATAAGGCTTAGGGTCTTAGGGTTAGGGATAGGACTTTAGGGATTCGGGCTTAAGGTTTGGAACTTGGAGGTTCGGAGTGGTTTTGCAGTTCGTTTCAGATCGGGAACTGCACGCTTGAAGTTATGGCCCCTAAACCTCAAGCCCTAAACCCTACGACTGTTATGGGGTTTAGGGTTTAGGGAATTTAGGGTTTAGGGTTTAGGGATTGCAACCCTACGACTGTTATGGGGTACAGGCGGTGGGATGCGGGCCCCGGCCCGCGTCCTGCTCTGGAGGCTTTGACGTGGCATGCTGAAGCTTTCGGGCTTGGGCCTGTAATTTGCACGGCATTCCAAGCTTGGGGTTCAGGTTTAGGGTTCAGGGTTCAGGGTTTAGGGTTTAGGGTTCAGGGCTTAGGGCTTTAGGGCTTTAGGGCTTTAGGGCTTTATGGTTTTATGGTTTAGGGTCTAGGGTCTAGGATCTATAGGGTCTAGAGGGTTCGGACTTCAGGATGCATGGTTCGGGTTTACGGGTGTTGGAAACCTGAGCCCTTACACACTGCAGCATCCAGCCTAAACCAAGACACTCAGGGTATAGGGTTTAGGGTTCCTAAACCATAAACCGTGAACCCTAAAGCGGAAAAATCCCGGCCCGTTAACGCCGAATGTAGGGGGCCCTTAACAATGAGAATAGGGTCTTGGGCTCTTTTATAGTATCACTATACCAGGAACCCCCCCAAAAAAATAGTATTGGTATTTGTTCAGGGCCCTACAGTAAACGCGAGTATAAGAGGCTGGGGTGCCGAAAGGATTTCACACTTTCTCTGGGAGCCCACGTCCGGTTTGGGGCTTTGGGGTTTAGGGTTTGGGGCTTAGGGTTTAGGGTTTAGGGTTTAGGGTTTAGGGTTTAGGGTGTAGGGTTTTGGGGCTTAGGGTTTAGAGTTCAAGATTTAGGGCTTAGGGCTTCGGGCTTAGGGTTTAGGGCCCCTCTGGAAACTCCATCGGAGGCAAGGGAGTTAGCAGGTTTCGTCCAGAGATCCAAAACCCTCAACCCAACACCACCATAACACCATAGGGGACTTAATAATTGAATAAGGTTTTGGGGCCCATTATACTAAAATCATAATTGGGAACCCGTAAAATAATGTAGGTAATTATTGAGACCCCTATATTACCTTTACTAAGTCCCAAACCTGACGCCCTCTACGATCCCGACCTGGCCCTGGACGTACTCCGTTGGGTGGTCCGGGCCAGCCAAGACCTGGGCTTGAGAAGCGCATATGTAGGGGCCTTAATAATTAGAATAGGGGTTTGGGCTCCTTTACGGTACCCTGTGGAAGAATATTGGTAATTATTTAGGCTTCTATATTATGTTAATGGCCTAGGATTTAGGGGTTTGGGCTTGAGAGAGTTTAGGGTTTAGGGTTTAGGCTTTTAGGGTCTGGGAGTTAAGGTTTAGGGCTTAGAAACTTTAGAAGCTGCAAAGGGTTCGTGCTATAAGGGCTTCCATGGAGTTTTCTATACAGGTTCTGGTAAAGGGCTCTTAACAACTAGAATAGAGCTCTGTGGGAAATGCTATACCACAACTATAGGGTTTAGGGCTGTAGACTCTAAGCCCTGAACCCTGATAACCCTTCTACCATGGCTTCGTCTTTACGGTTCAGGGCATTGATACGATCCACATGTCCACGCACGCAGACGAAAGCACTGCAGAAAACAATAAAGGTAGAACGGTACCGTTCCTTCGCTACGATGTCAAGCGGGGTCTGTTAGGATGAGGGGTCACAGTAAGGTTTGGGCACGCCCTAAACGTTCACCCTAGGACTGTTCAGAAACAAAGCCTTACGTAGCACAGCAAGAATTGCACAACTACTTTCGGGTTTCGGGTTTCGGGTTTACTTACTTCACTGCCCAACACCCCTAAACCCTACACCCTGAACCCTAAGCCCCAAACCCTAAACCCTAAGCCCTAAACCCTAAACCCTAAACCCTAAACCCTAATCGGAAAGCCTAAGTCTTTCACCTTTTGACCGTAAAGCCGACGTCCTA